ACAAGACTAAAAATGGGGAGCCATGCTACCATCATCCTGCCTAGACTATTACTACAAAAGTGTCCTAATCACTCTCCCTGCTTCACCTCTCATTCATAGTCAATTTCCCTCACAGTAGCCTTAGCAATATTTGTAAAACATAAAATATAAATCAGATCACTTCTCTCTCTGTTTAAGTCATCAGTGCTTTCCCATCACACTAAAACTAGAATCCAAACCTCTAACCCTGTTTATACAAAATCCTATAAAATCTGGCCTCTAACTTCTCCTTATAACTCTGTATCATTTTCCCCTCTGCTCATTCTGCCTTAGCCACACAGACCATCTTTCCATAATTCACAAATGCCAAGGTCATTCACAAATCCAGGCCATCATATGGCTTGTTTGCTTCATTTAGGTCACTTATTCAAATTTCACCTCCTTAGAGAGCCTTCCCTGGCCACACTCTAAAATAGCCACAAACACAACTATCAGTATTCTCTACCCCTTTATTTGGCTTTATTTTTCTGCATGTATTCGTTGCTGTTGTTGTGTGCCATCAAGTCAGTTCCTACACATAGTGACCATGTATAGGGTCTCCAAGGAGCAACTGGTGAGCCTGAACTGCCAACCTTATAATTCAAACCAATTTTGCAGTCCAGTGCATTAACCCACAGCGCCACACCAAACTGAAATCACTTTATTTATATATTTTATCATTATGGAGGTGTATCTGGTATACAATAAAATATGTTGTTGTTGTTAAGTGTCATTGAGTCGATTCTGACCCAAATCAACCCTGTATAGGGTTTCCGAGGAGTGACTGGTGAGTTTGAACCACAATAAACTATACATACTTAAATTGTGTTATTTGATAAATTTTGACCTATATATACACACACCACTATGAGGAGCCCTGGTGTGGCGCTGTGGGTTAATGCTGCAGACTATAAATCTGTTTGAACTGCAAAGTCAGCGGTTCACGCTCACCAGTGGCTCCTTGGAAACCCTATATAGGGGTTGCTATGGGTCGGAACCAACTCAATGGCACTTAACAACAACAACATACCACTATGAAACTATACTACAATCAAAGATAGTGAACATAGTCACCATTTCCAAAAATTTATAAATATTTACTGTTTGCCCCAAAGAATGAACTTTGGTTTCAATGATTTTAATAATGTACGCTTTCTATTGCTCAGAATTTTATTATTTCCTTTATTCTGCTCACTTTGGGTTTAATTTGCATTAGTTTCTTACAGTAGAAGTTGAAGACACTGATTTGAGATCTTTCTTGTTTTCTAATATTAGCACTTTTTGTTGTTGTTAAATGCCATCAAATCAGTTCCAACCCATAGTGACCCTGTATAGGGTCTGGAGCGACTTGTGAGCACGAATCGCCGACACTGCAGTTCAAACGGCTTTGCAGTCTGGCATATTAACCCACAGCACCACATCAGGAGTGTTGTTAATTTCCTTATAAATCTTGTTTTAGCAACGTCCCGCATATTTTGATATGGTGTTTTCATTTTCATTCAGTTCAAAACACTTCCTAATTTCTCTTTTGATTTAGTCTTTGATCTATGAGTTATTTAAAAATGTGTTACTGAGTTTTCAAGTATCTGGAGACTTTCTAGATATCTTTCATTAATTTTTTATCTAATTACATTCTGGTCAAAAATATTATTTTGTATTACTTGAATCCTTAACATTCTTAAAAATAATTTATTTTATTTTATTGTTATTGCTGAGACTATACATAACAAAACATCCACTCATTTAAATTTCTACATGTGCAATTCAGAAGCGTGGTGGTTCTGCAGGATAAACACTAGACAGCAAACCAAAAGGTTGGTGGTTTAAGCCCACCAATTGCTTTTCAGGAGAAAATTGAGACTTTCTCCTCCCACAAAAATTTACAGCCTCCGAAACCAACTGGATGGCACTAACAATAACAACAACAACATGTACAATTCAAAGACATTGATGACATGCTTTGAGTTGTATAACCATTGTCACCCTACTTTTCTGAGTTGTTTCTTCGTCCCTTAAACATAAATTCACGAATCCTAAATTCCCTATCTAACGTTTCTAATTTGTCCGAGTTGAGTGGGTGCTGACTCACAGTGAGCTTATACCCACAGAATGAAACCCCGCCTAGTCCTATGCCATTCTCACAACTGTTGTTACAGCTGAGCCTATTGCTGCTGCTACTGTGTCAATCCATCTGGTTGGGTATCCTATTTTTCCCTCATTTTGCTGAATTTACCAAGCACATGGTCCTTCCTGATAACATGTTCAAAGTATGAGAGATGAAGTCTGGCCATCCTGGCTTCTAAGGAGCAGTCTGGCTGTACTTCTTGCAACACAGATTTATTTGTTCTCCTGGCAATCCATGGTACTTCTAGTATTCTTCTCCAATATCATAATTCAAATACATCAATTATTCTACAGTCTGCTTTATTCACTGTCCAATTTTCACATGCATATGAAGCGATTGAAAATACCATGGCTTGGGTTAGGTATTCCTTAATCCTCAAACAAACTTCTTGGCCCTTGAACACTTAGAGGTCTTTTGCAGCAGATTTACCCAATGCATTATATAGTTTGATATCTTGATTACTGCTTCCATGAGGACTGGCTGTAGATTCAAGCAAAATGGAGTATCAAGACAACTTCAATCTTTCTTTCATTTACCATGTTATTTATTGATCCAGTGGCAAGGATTTTTGTTTTCTTTACAATGAGGTGAAATCTGTACTGAAGGCTGTGCTCTTTGATCTTCATTAGTAAATAATCAAGTCCTCTTCACTTTTAGCAAGCAAGGCTGTATCATCTCCATATCGTAGATATATGTTTATGAGTCTTCCTCCAATCCTGATGCCATGTTCTGCTTCATATAACCCAGTTTCTTAAATTATTTGCTCAGCGTAGATAGAATAAGTATAGTGAAAGCATACAACCCTGGCATATACCTTTCCTGATTTTAAACCATTCAGTAGCCCCTTGTTCTGTTCTAATAACTGCTTCTTGGTCTACGTATAGGTTCCTCGTGAACACAATTAAGTGTTCTGGAATTCGTCACGATGTTGTCCATATTTTGTCATGATTTACACAGTTGAAAGTCTTTGCACAGTCAATAAGCACAAGTAAACATCTTTCTCATATTATCTGCTTTCAGCCAAGATCCATCTGACATCAACATTGATATCCCTAGTCCGACGTCTTCTTCTGAATCTGGCTTGAATTTCTAGCAGATCTCTGTCCAACTGGTTTGAATTATCTTCAGCAAAATTTACTTGTACATGATATTAATGATGGTGGTGGTGGTTATGTGCCATGGAGTCGATAATTTCCGTATTCCACTGGATCCCATCTCTTTGATATTGGCACAAATATCTTGGCACAAAAGAGTGAGCGCCTCCAGTACCGCATCAGTTTGTTGAAATATATTAATTTGTATTCCATCAATTCCTGGAGCCTTGTTTTTCACCAACGCCTTCAGTGCAAATTGGACTTCTTTCACACTACCATTGGTTATTGATCATATGCTACCTCTTAAGTGGTTGAACACCGACCATTTCTTTTTGGCATAATAATTCTACGTATTCCTTCCATCTTCTCTTAGTGCTTTCTGCATCATTCAATATTTTGCCCATAGAATTCTTCAATATTGCAATGCTAGGTTTGAATTTTTTCTTCAGTTCTTTCAGCTTGATAAATGCGGATCATGTTCTTCCCTTTTGGTTTTCTAATTCCAGGTCTTTGCACATTTCATTATAATAGTTTACTTTGTCTTCTCCAGCTGCCCTTCAAATTATTCTGTTCACCTCTTTTACCTCATTTCTTCTATTCGCTTTAGCTTCTCTAAGATCAAGAGCAAATTTCAGAGTCTCTTCTGAGATCCATTTTGGTCTTTTCTTTCCTTTCTGTCTTTTTAATGTTCTTTTTCTTTCTTCCTATATGATAATCTTGATGTCATCTAACAGCTCTTCTGGTCCTCCATCATTAGTGTCTAATGCATCAAATCTGTTCTTGAGATTATCTCTAAATTCAGGTGGAATATATCCAAGGTCCTATTCTGGCCCTTGTGCACTTGTTCTAACTTTCTTTAGCTTTGGCCTGAACATGCATAGGAGCAAGTGATGGTCTGTTCAACAGCCTGCCACTGGCCTTGTTCTGGATGGTGATATTGAGCTTTTCAACCATCTGGTTCTTCTGGTCTCAAGGTAGTAGAGTCTATGGTACCTATGGTCTATGAGTCCTTTGGACTACTTTCTTTCTTGAGTTTTTTATTTTCTTCACTCTTCTTTGCTCCAGATGGGAAGAAACCAAGTGACCCACAGTCACTACTCACCAAAGTAGAGCATAGCACATTGTCTTTGTGGGCTATGTTATGCCACTTGACAGAGATGTGTCCCAAGACTATAGATTTGGATCTAATAGGCTTTAGTGGACATTCTAAGAAACTAACAGTGTTATCAGTTTGATCTAAGAAATTAACACTGCTGCCAGTTTTCATGGGAAAGCATGTTTCAAAGAACTAAATGACATGCCAATTAGCATACAAGTTATTCATGGATTGTTGTTGTTGTTGTTAAGTGCGGTCGAGTCAGTTTCGACCCATAGTGATCCTGTATAGGGTTTCCGAGGAGCAGCTGGTGAGCTTGAACCACTGACCTTGTAGTTCAAATGGCATTGCAGTCTGATGCATTAACTCACAGCGCCACATCAGGGCTCCATTCATGGATTAGGGGCTGTTTATCATTTATTTTTCATTTAAAATGGTAACTTCTATCCTCATCTGCTTCCTAAAATTACAAACTTAGCCTGCATCATTTCCACTGCAGTTGTGAAACTTCCTTCTTATACATAGAATATCTAAAATAGGTCTGCTTCTAAATATGATTTTAAAAATAAATCATCTTAAATGTTTGTATAAAACAAACAGGTTAGGATTTGGTATCTATGACTATAAACTACTTTTAGTACCTAGGAAAAAAAATAAGAACACTTACTTCATGGAATACTGCTCCTGAATACGGAGACACTCCCAAGTCCAACAATGAAAGGCCTTCAACCACTGAAAAATAAGACATCCAAGTTTACTCAAACACTGGACGCATAGGCAAAGAGCAATAAACCAAAATACTACATATTCCTGAGACCAAGACTCAACAGCACTTAACAGTAAGACCAAGAGGGGCCTCAGAGTTTATTTGGTCTCCTCTATGTCATTCCCAACTCTGGTAGTGTAGTGGTTACAAATTAGGCTGCGAACCTCTCGGTCAGCAGTTCGAAACTACCAGCTGCTCTGCGGGAGAAAGATGAGGCTTTCTGTTCCTGTAAAGATTTACAGCCTTGGAAACCCTGTACAGGGTCGCAATGAGTTGGGACGACTCCACGGCACATAACAACAACATGTCATTCCCAACAAGTGGCTTTAAATCCTGATTTGAACATTTCCGGTGATGGGAACTTTATTCCATACAGTACATCTCTGTCCATTGTATGGCAGTGCTCATTGTGTGTTGAATGTTAAACTGTAAGTTTCTTTCTATCTCCCTGTAATTTTTACCCACAAAGACATAAAAAGTGCTTTTTTTATGTGCCTTCTGCCCAGTTCCAAAACACATTAAAATGACAAATTAGAAGCTGGTGAGAAATGTTGTTCATAATGTGGGGAAATGGGCACTGATTCTCACATGCTGGTTGTTTGAATGTTATCCATACTAATCTTCCTAAAAGGCAATCTGCATTTTTAAGTGTGCACCTCTGACTAAAAAAAAACCTTTTAAGGTAATTTATTTGAGGGAAATAAGTGGGTGAGCACCCAAAGGGGTATGTTCATTATGCGTCGGTGGTAATGTGCCATGGAATCTGGTAGTATAGTAGTTACAAGTCAGGGTGCTAACTTCAAGGTCAGCAGTTCGAAACTACCAGCTGTTCCACAAAGAAAGATGAGGCTTTCTGCTCCCATAAACATTTACAGCCTCGGAAACTCTCTACAGAGTCTCTAAGAGCCAGAGCCAACTCCAGGGCATGCCACCACCACAGCTAAACCGAAAGTTTGCTGGTTCAAACCCACCAGCCACTCCTGAAAACCCTGTACTCATAGAGTTACTGTTAAGTCAAAACCAACACAGATCAGCTGGTGGATTTGAACTGCCGATTTTGCCTTTAGCAGTCCAGTGCTTATCCTACAGTGTTGCACCAGTTAACAGAATATCAATGCAAATTTTCTGGTTTAAATCATTGCATAACAGTTATCTAAGATATCAACCTTAAGAGAAACTGGGTTAAAGAGTTCTTGTTGGCACCCTATTTTCTAAGTTTTTGGAAAATCTAAAATTATTTCAAAACACTTAAAATTTAAAAGTATACTATAATCTTCAGGTGTTGGGGAGGGCAATACACAAGAAGGGAGAAGGGGTGGAAGAACAAGGTATACAGAGGAACACTGAGACAGGTTTGCATGGGCTAAATGGGACAAGTGAGGGGCTAAATGAGACAGAGGTAAACAGTGATGCATGCTCAACCTTGGAATAACAGGGCTCTGTGATACAGGGATTGAGGCAGAGTCTGAAGAGGGGAAAAAATACTAAAATGCTTGACTCTCTTATGAATATGGCTTTCCCTTGCCTACTACTGTAAAATAGACACTTGAGTGGGATAGAATGGAATGTTGGGAAACATGATTACAGAAAGCTTGTAAGCCCATCTTCTGCCTATAACTGACTGGAATACCCAAAAGGGGCTCCACAACTTTCCCAGTGAATTAGGCCTCTTGTGGAGACTTTGCAGTGTATAGGACATTAGGTGGAATCCTGAGCCCCATCCAGAACCTTCTGAGGTGGGACATTCCCACTAGGAAGGACAAGCAGACCAGCCTGTAACAGCTAGAGCGACAGAAGATACATCTTCAAAGAAAGATCAGCAGGAAAAACCCAAAACAAAAATGGCAGTATGATTGGCTACTATAAGAATAAGCAAGTTATTCACAGGGAAGCCATCAAGGCAAGCAATCAAGTTCCTTCAGGACAAACCCCCTTCCAAGACTGAAACTCAAATGGAGCATATGAGCAGGCATGTAAGCTTGCTAGCGACCACATTGATCTACTGGTGAGTGGAAGAGGGGGAAAGGCAGCAATGACAAAATGGGCTGAGTTCAACCATGTTTCATAGACTCCCACTGACCTGGAGATGAGAGCGAGAAGAGGAAGGGCTAGTTGGTCCAAAATGTGGTGAGACCTGGGGACACCTGAGCCCATGGACAAGGACATAGCCACAGAGGGCTAGAGCTGAGAGTGAAGCATCCAGCTGATATGGAGGGAGACGCACAAGAACACCCAAACTTGCAGACAGTTCCCATTTGACCTAGCCTTATTATCAAGCCTTAGTGGCTTGATAATAAGAACTCAACTAGCGAAAGATAAATAAATTAAATAAATAAATAAATTTATAAAGGAAATGTGGGGTAAATTGCTACAATTTGATTAACTTGACTTATACTCATGGAGGTAGCAGCTCAAAATACCAACAGAGAGGGAAGGAGTTTTCAGATCAAGTATCAATCCTAACCCCTCTGTATACAGGGTAAATAAGGACACACAACTTAGACATTGGCTACCTAAAATGAGGAGGCGATAAAGGCACAAAGTGACTGGCTTACAAGTTTTCAAGAGGGAGTTTAGTTTAAGAGTGTTTGGGGGAAGATAGAGTCCCTGCTGCATAGTTTTCATCTTGTCTAGATAGGTCTGGTGAAAAGAGATAGGGATAAGATTTATATGACTCAATAGTGAGTAATTGTTATCATGACTAATTGCGACTGTCACAATTGTAAAGGTAGAAGTTTTGTAATAAAAATGGGGGACTAGTTAATCTTACAGTTTAGTTAATCTTACAGTCCAGAAACAGAGGACCATCAAGGGAGAAGAGCACAAGCAGAATGTGAGACCTTATCCAGAGAAGCAGTGACACCAGAGATGGAGGCAGAGATGGGGACATGGAGAAAGGAAACAGCTGAGGACTCTAGATTCATGGTAAGAGAGGGACTGAGAGCTGACTGTCAGGAGGCAGACTTGCAGAATGTGCCCTTTAGTGTTTTAAATTATTATATATGCCTGAGTGTTGTGTGTGTGTGTGTGTTTTGTTTTTTTTTAAAAAAAAGAGCTAAAATGAATAGAGAGAAATACTGTTAACTGATGGTACATGGAAGGGTTTACAATCATTGTAACGAAACAAAGTATATGATTTGTTAAATGTAAAACTGATGATCTGCCCTGTAAACTTCCACTCAATTCACAATAAAAACTTAAAAGAAGAAAAAGTATACTATAATCTATATTTACTGAATAAATAATGCCCATGAAATAGTCTTAAATAGTAAAGTAGGTCATAAAATAACATGCAAGATATAGTTAGATCTTTATAAGCATTTATAAATAAATAAATTGAATTTTGAGAAAGAAATTGAATATGTTATTCAATGAAAAATGCTTGGAAAAATAAATATAAATGTTAACAGGGACCATATCTGGATGACAAACTTAACGATTTTTAATTTCACTGATCTTTTCTCTATTTTCTGAATCTTTAGCAATGACATGAATTTTCTTTTAACTGTTAAAAATAAGAAAAATTATTTTTTTAAGTGGGTAAAAATAAGAATAAAAAAGTGGGTAAGAATAGAGAAACACATAAAAGAGCCACAAAAACCTATAGAATATATTTGCTTGTAAATGCATAAACTATCTCAGAAGGCCACATAAGAAACTGATCGTTGCTGCTCCAGAGAATGGTAGAGGGTTGCTGTTGCTGTTATTAAGTGCTATCAAGTCGGTTCTGACTTTAAGTGACCCTGTATAGGATTTCCAAGGAGTGGCTTGTGAGTTTGAACTGCTCACTTTGCGGTTCTAAGCAACTTTGCAGTCCAATACATTAACCCACAGCACCACCCCAGGACTCAGCTACAGAAAAGTGCTGAAAGACTGCCTTTTTATCATATACATTTTGTACCTTTGACTTTTGAACCATGTGACTAAACCTCAAAAATAAAGTCACAACTCCCAAACCCACTACCATCATAATGGTCACCAAAAATCAATATATTTGTAATCAGTACGGCTTTAAGCTTTATAGACCTATCCTGAAGAAAACCTAGTGAATTAAATTATTCATGGTAGCCATAAAACAAAACAAGGTCCGTTGTTGACACAACTGTAATAGGTCTCATACAAAAAAGATGCTATGTTACACAATAACAAAGCATTCACCAATAGCTTTACTAGCAACCCAAGGAGATGATTAATCAGGCCATTTCACAAAGCATCTCTCAATCAAAGCCAATGGCATCCTACCACAAGAGTAATAAAAGCAACTCTACAGGGGACCAGCATGAAATGGTCTATGAACATCGCTCTCCACTAGTCTGGTTTAATCCAAAGGGTTTTTTTTTTTGTTTTTTAATGTTTTATTGTGAATTATGTGATAGTTTACATGGGAGAACATTAGCTTTACATTCATCCTATCATATATCATTTCATTGCCATGGTTATAATCCCCTCCATGCATCATCAACCCACCAAAGGGTATATATACCCTGCAAGCCTGCCCCCGAGTCATTAGCACACAGTCCCTCTCCCTTTCTGGGTCTAGAGTCTCCAGCCACTCCATCTCTCCATGTCATCATCTCTGCCTCCATCTCTGGCATCACTGCTTCTCTGGATAGGGTCTCGCACTCCGCTCTTCTCCCTTGGGGGTTCCAGGGACCTCCACTCCTGAACTGCAGTGAATCATTCCCCTTCTTTTGCTACAAAATGTCTACCTTTACATTTCCAACCCTCACAGTCAGTTCTGGTAACAACTACTCACCATTGTACCACAAGGGACCTATCCCCATCTCTTTTCATTAGCCCCGTCCAGACAGATTGGATACTACTCAGTGGAGATTCTACCTTCCTCCGTGCCCTCTGGATCTAGGCTCCCTCTTGAAAGCTTGTAAGCCAGTCACTTCTTGCCTTTGTAGCCCCCCACCCCCATTTTGGGTAGCCAATGTCCAAGTTGCCCATCCCTGTCTGCTCT